GAATTGTAATAATTTGTAAAAGATTGTAAGTAAGATTAAAAAACAATCATTCATTAAGTTTATTTTGCACTTTAAGCAAATGGACAGGACATGTTCCCGATACTTTCTTGTGTAAAAATAAATCAAATTAAGCCAATATGCAGGGCCGAGTGAAATTTGTTTTCGTCATCCAATTTTCGTTTTATTTATTTTTAAATTTTCTCTTTTGTAACGTTACATTTTCCACACCTAAAAGTGTTGTATCATATGGTGGATTATTAAATTTTAAAATTACACATCCAGTCCTTTTGTTAAAATTAACGTACCTTTTGTTTGTTTTATAGGTGAGCAAAGAAAGTATTTTGTTTTACCCCTGGAAGTCCCATTACCACTGACACCTAGTGATGCTTAGGGGGAAAATCAGCAACCTTATTTAGTTGCCTAAGAGTACTATTTTTCTTCTCCTTCTTTCAGCTGTTCCTCACCACAGCGAACTAATGCCCCTTTTCCATTAGTACCGGTACTTAGCACCTGTTACTATTTTCAGTACCCATGGCTCTGTGGTTCTAACCGGTACGAAGAGGTACAAAAATGTGACGTCAGAACACTGTCGTCACTGATTGGTCGGGGGCGGAGTCACTGGATCCTTCAGAAACTTTTCAAAACAATAATCCGCCATTTGCAATTTCTTGGACTGGAGCAGCGACTGGATTTATTTTAAAGATCTTTAAAACAATACTGACAACATCTTGGTCTAATGTTGATATGCTGGCATTTTTTGTGCTAGGTGGCCGACAACATAATTTAGAGCAAGCTGGATGGAGCTCTGCTGGTGTACCCCGATCCTCCCTCCAGAGCCTCGGAGCGCCAGGCGGCAGAGCGTCATCTCCCCGGCTCCAAGTTCAGCTGGTCACCGCGGAAGATCCTTCGATGTGCCGACTCGGAGGCTCGGGCTCCGGATACCAGCCTTGTGTGCTCAGAGCTCCGCTGGTCACTGCGAAGCTGGAGATGGGGACTCGCAGATGGACGTTGCCAGACCCCGGCCGCGCGTAATCATGAAGGCTGAATCCCGATCCCACCCGGCAGTCAGGCGGACGGTGGAAGCGATTTTTAAATAAAATAATATTTTGTTTTTATACAAAAAATGTTTTAAAAAATTGCTGAAGCGATTAAATTTTTTTTTATTTTTTTTTACACGTAAAATGTTTTTTAAAATCGCTTCCACCGTTCGTCGCAGACCCGTCTCTGTCCGCCTGTCTGCGTGGGTCGGGCCTTCATGATTACGTGCGGCTGGGGTCTTGGAACGGCCTCTGTGAGTCACCAGCTGAGCTGGAGCTGGGAAGATGAGCTTGCCCGTCCTGTCTCCGGAGGAGAGGATCGTCATAAAAAAATAATATATATATATATATTTTAGCAATGAAGATTAAAAAAAATAAATAAATAAACGGTGCCAGCTTCATCATGAAATCCTGTTTTCACTTTAATGACTGTTAACTCAGCTGAAAATCATAAAAAGACACAAAACTATTGGATCTCAGAAATATTTCCCTCAAACATGTTTAAAGAAAAGAGACGACCTTCAGTTCAACTTTATTTTAACTCACAAATGTACAAATCACAAAACAAGAACTTTAAAGCAAAGCTAAAAATAAAATGTATATAAGTAAACAAGAAAGGAAACCACACATTTAAAATGAACATTAAAAGTAGACACGAGTGCAAATACATCAAATGATGATGAAAACCTATAAAAATTTAAATCTTATGTTTTTGTAGAATCTGGTTCATCAGAGTTTTAATTTATATACATATATATGTATATAAATATCACATATGATATATATATATATATACACACACACACACACACACACACACACACACACACACACACACACACACACACACACACACACACACACACACACACACACACACACACACACACACACACACACACACACACACACACACACACACACACACACACACACACACACACACACACACACACACATATATATACACACATGTGTGTACATATATATTTGTGTGTGTGTACATATATATTTGTGTGTGTGTGTGTGTATAAATATATATATATATGTGAATATATGTATATATATATATATATATTTATACACATGTACATACACACATACATGCATACATACATACACACAACTTCAAAATAACATAAATTCTCAACCTGTACTGAAAACAGTTTCTGCGTCTCAACGCCACCAGCTGGTGAGAGCTGGTGACGTCAATTTGAACCCCGCCCACTGGAACCGGTACTGAAAGCATAATGGAAACACAATCCGTACCGTACCGAGTAGAGTAGAGCCGTGCTGTACCGGTACTACAGGTACTAATGGAAAAGGGGCATAAGTTGCACGAAGACTTGGTGATTACTTTTACGCCGGATGCCCTTCCTGACACAACCACAGACCACCGCCCTACCACAGCCTTCTGTGCGGAGCAGAGAGCTGCCATCTAGGGAGCCCAGGGGAGCAGACGGATGGGGTTGAGGGCCCTGCTCAAGGGCCCAGAGTGGGGCAAATGAGGGTGGAGACAGGTGTGGGTGCTTCACAGTTCTAGAATTGCGCCGCTCAATGTGGCTGCATGTTGGAGCAGCTCTGTTACTTTCATTTTGAGATTTTACTTTTGGAAAACACAAAGTTTGTTTTCTCAGTCATCCAGGTATATAACAACAAAAAAGGTTGAATCACAAAGAAAACAAACTTTGTGTTTTTGAAACCATTAGTGAAAAGGCCAGACTTCAGGGGTATCTGAGGCAGGCTTGAAACACAAGAGTCAGGGTGGCTTCTGGGTAATACCAGATGGCTAGGCCTCAGACTGACAAAGCCTCTTGGATGAGGGGCGAAACGTTTCTTTTTAAAAAAACGAAGTCCAGATGACATGATTCAACCTTTTTTGTTGTTACTTTTGGAAACTTTAATTCCTCTTTTTCTAGATGTAACTCACATTTTTTGGATCATTGTTTCTTCTGGTATCAGATGCTGTGTAGCTGGAAGGATTTTTACTGAAACTTTTTTTAGTTTTGGACATTTGTTATGATGCGTAACCATGGCAACAAGGCAGTTTTCTACAACAAACAGCAGCTGATTAACATCTCAAAAGCTCAAATAATATCTCAACAACAGCCCAAAATCTCAAGTGAGTTGAAAAGGATGTTCTGTGGATGCATTCTCATCTACCTGCCAGCTGTGCTCGAGTGCCTGACCACTGAGATCATGGAACTAGCAGGAAATGCGGCTCATGACAGCGGAAGGACAGGATTGTCTTTCGGCATCTACAGTTGGTCATCTGCAGCGACGAGGAGCTCAGCAGACTGCTGGGAGGAGTGGCCATCGCTACAGCCCGAGGGTAACCGAGAGGAACCGAGAGGCCAGCTGAGTCTGAGTGGACGGATCAACGGCATCTGCAGCCAGTGTCTTAGGATCCACTGTGGGATGGACCTTTGCAAGAGATCCTTCCTGCCTACAGCCATCAGTATCTATAACATCTCTTAATGAAATGAGGATAATGAGTTACAACAACAAATAATTTCCCTCTGGGATTAAGTATTTTTGAATTGAATTGAATTCACCTTTCTCATCCACATTTTGATGTTGTTGGTCTGCGGAGTCAAAATGGCAACCTTCTGATCACAGGCTTGCCTTCTCTTATCTCTGTGCTACCACTCTCCATAAAAGTACTATAAAAATAATAATTAAAAAAAATATATACTTTTTTGGAGAAAGAAATAAGGCATTTCCCTCTATTAGTACAGAAGTCCCTTGCTACTTCGCGGTTTAATTTTGTTGACTCGCTCTTTCAGTTTTTCAAAGTAAGATTGGACATGACACACAACTGGCTGATTGATGAGCCACACAAGAAGCATGGATTGTTTATTTAAAATAAATTATTTTACATGATTTTGCACCTGTGTGCAGCTCGCAGGTGTGGCAAGTGCCACCTTTGAGTGAGGTGCTGTGATGATTGATATGTCAGGATTAGCCAGCATCACAACTCACGTGATGGAAAGACAACCGAATGTGTGAGCAGCCAGCTGCAGGCTTTAGAATGGGACTTGACGAACACCCGTTTTAAGAGTGGTGCTTCATTTATACACCACCGTGTTTCATTCTGTGCCTCTTAAGTTTCTATGGCAGCTTACAGAGGAGCTTGCCTAACTGAGGAACTGTTTGTGAAAGAGGCTGTGCCTGAGCTCACCACTTCATGAGAAACATCAGCTCTCCACTCGAGTCGGTTGCTCCAATAATTCTTTCAGGCTGCAGTCCTCTACCAAAACCTCTGGTCTTTTCACCCTTAAAAAGGACAGGAGTAAGAAAAATTACTAAATACATAGACTGTCAATGAGAGTAAATTCACCATAGAAGTGCAGCTCATGTACCATCTCACTTACCTCCTCCTTCCTCTTTTTTCCAGCCCTTTCCTCAGACTCTCCTGAGGCCTCACTGGTTGATTTCCTCTTACTTTCTTTCTTTTTTTCCTCCTTCTCTTTGTGTTTCTGCATGTATGCTGCAATAAGGTCAGGACAATCCAAGTTCTCCTCTGGCTCCCATGTATTATCCTCACTGGACAGAGTACAGAGCAACACACAAAATGTGATAAATTAAACATCTTTCACTATGCAACTACATATGTTTGCATTTACAAACGGACAGGGTTCCTAAACATGTTCCAGTTTGAAAATCTTTATTTTGAACACTGGGAGGGAGTGGAGGGGTTTCCTTTAGTAAATAAGAATGCTGATGGTTAGAATGCAACAAAAAAAGAAAAGTAGAGCCTGACCAATATATTTGTAGGGTTGATATAGGCCTTTGGGGTTCTATCTGTATCGCGGTAATTGTCCCATTTTCGCAGATATAACAGGTTCTAATTTTAACCACTAAAATTCTGTGAAGGCACATGAAGACTACTTTGAAGTCATGCAGACAAAGCAGGGAGCAAATGTGTAGGCATTTTGCTGAACAGAGCATGGTACGTATATTTAACTGATCTGTGAAACAAATCAAAAATAATAAATTATCCAACATTTTTCAGTCAGGTCATCTGGACAGTTTCTTTTTTTTTTTTTGTGCTGAAATGTTTCGTCTTTGGTCCGGAGGGCTTCATCAGTCAAGGAAACACTCAACAAAACTGATTCTTCTCCCAACAGCTTACTCCAAAGTGGAACAAACCAGTTCTGCTTGTGATAAGATTGTCTCTTTGGTATGCCCCCTCCTCCATTGCCGGCCCTCTTCCTTGTTGACAGTCTTGTCAAACTGGTTGAAAACAACAAAGTCCATCCATGCTCAATAATCCAGGTAAACAATCCAACATTTTTCAGTCAGGTCATCTGGAAAGTTTCTTTTTTGGGGGCTGAAACGTTTCTCCTTCGGTCCGGAAGGCTTCATCAGTCAAGGAAACACTCAACAAAACGTTGGTTACGCACTGTAACCCCAGATTCTATGAATATAGGCGTAGCCCTTTAAGGCTGTCGCTTAGTGGGTGGGTTTTATCACGTCATGCGAAGCATTACACTGAAAAATTTAGTCCACGCCCACCTGCTGTGTGGGCCCCACCCGGTCCGTATAAATTACGCTAAGAGCAGGTAATCGGCTCCCAAATAGCTTTTTCTTCAGCCACTTAGGAGCCAGTGAGGCCCTACGCTTAAAGGGCTACGCCTATCTTCGCCTTAAAGGGCGAAGCCTATATGAAATAGAAATGATTCTTCTCCCAACAGCTTACTCCAAAGTGGAACAAACAAGTTCTGCTTGTGATAAGATGGTCTCTTTGTTACGCCCCCTCCTCCATTGCCGGCCCTCTTCCTTGTTGACAGTCTTGTCAAACTGGTTGTAAACAACAAAGTCCATGCTCAATAATCCAGGTAAACAATCAAACATTTTTCAATCAGGTCATCTGGACAGTTTCTTTCTTTTTTGGGGGCTGAAACGTTTCGCTTTTGTTCCAGAAGGCTTCATCAGTCAAGGAAACACTCAACAAAACTGATTCTTCCCCCAACAGCTTACTCCAAAGTGGAACTGTTCCAGATGACCTGACTGAAAAATGTTGGATTGTATACATGGATTATTGGGCATGGACTTTTTTGTTAATAATAAATTATCTTCAATCCTACAATTAGCTTGTTATTAGCTACATGCCTCTCAAGTTAGCAAGCTAACGTTTAGATAACCTAGCATAGTATATTACCTTGTAAATTGTTATCCAGGCCAATAAATCTAACGTTGAGGTGAAACATATCAGTTAAGGCTCCAGTATACTGCCGCGTATGTCCATTCATGCGTACGTACGCGTGTACGGTAGGCAGAGGGTTTAGACATGATACTCCAGCGAACACCCTGAGCAGCTGCAGAGCAGCTTCACAGACAAGGGGCGTTTACCTTCGGGACAAATTGAGGTCGCCGATTGGTCATTTGCTGACATGCCTACTGGATTGATTGACAGGTCGGAAAAAAGAAAAAAGCGAGTGCTGGCAGCCTCCGCCGCAGCGGTGTTCTCTGTTTATATGTTGTTAATAAAAAGATCTAAAAAAATCAGGGAGAGCTGGCTCTACAACCCACACATCAGACCAGCCCACCAGGAAAGCTCCAGACCCTCCCGCAGCCACGCTGGACCTGAGTTTAATTCGCTCGCGACAAATTCCTCCATTTCTCACCATTTCAAGTCATGGCATCAACGGAGAAGGAAGAGATCACTGCCTCTTGGCAAAAAAACAAAGGAAAACGCCAGATCAGGGATGAAGAAGGGGAATTTAATACATTGGTGTCGCATACAAAACAGTCCCTCGCTGGGCAGTTTATTGTGCGACACCGCGTATGCGTATGCAGTCGTAAAAATTTGAGCTTTGCATGGACATGCCCTGGGGGGTACGCACGTACCTTTGCGAACGTACGTGTGCACCTCTGCGTATGGATGTACGCGGCAGTATACTGGAGGCTTTAGTAATGTTATCTTTGTTGTCCTCAATGAAATGCATTGTCTGAAATCATGACTTCTCTGCAATGAAAAGAAAATGTTACTGTGGTCAATACTAATTAGACCATCACCATATGTGAGTGACTGTTGAAACTATGAACAGGGAAGGGCGTTTTTTTTTTGTTTAATTTATGTTTTTGTAACACACTTGATAAATTTATGGTGAATAGTGGAGAATAGAAAATGCGAACTCACGTTAGGAAGACTGTTTATTGCAACACTTGTAAACCTAATGTGGGACTAGGTATAGCGGGTAGGGGTGCGAATCTCTGTGTCTGGTGATTCAATTCGATTCAGATTTTTGGTGTCATTATTCGATTAGATTCGAAATCGATTTTTCGATCCAGAAACGATTTTTTATTGAAATGGTCATAAATTTTGTTTCAAATATGTAACTGACATAATGTAACACATTGTTATATTTGTAACCAATTAACAATTAATTGCATTTGCAATAATATCACGATATGACAAAACAAGATTTTCTAATAGCAAAGGCTGCAATTTGACTGGTCACATGATCTGGTTACGTCACTTGCGAGTGAGCGGAGCAAAGCAGAGCAGGGAGTGGGAGAAGTCAACACTGCGCTTTAACCAGTTGCACAATGGTGTCAGTTTCAACAGAACACATCTGAAAGTTTGGTATCAAAGAGCGACAGAATGTCCGTTGTTTGAATTATTTTGGCTATAAAAAAGAAGACGCTGCGCAATGACATGTATTGTGTAGAACCTGCCCTGCTGCTGTTGCTACCTATTGAGGTAACACCACAAATCTTTATCAACACTTCAAAAAAACCACCACAAAGACATTTACAATAGTTGCACGGTAAGAATGCCAACAACCGGTGCTTCAACTTGAAGTAAGCAAAGTACCGGCCGACAGGGATCACTGACCTAACTCTTTGAAGGCATTACTCCATATGAACATAATTTGAAACGGCATGCGTAAATAACTAGCAACAATGGGGTTCATAGTGAGACATGATGCCCATTAAAATAATGACCACGCCTGGGTTTACGGCTTTGGTAAGCACAATGGATAAGCATTTCAGAATGCCCTTGCGTACACATTTTGGCCAAGACGCTATCCTGGAGCTATAAAAAAATAAAATAAAAAAGCAGAAACAGACCCAAAAAAGTTCAATCTGGTCCACAGGACATAAAAAAAAAAAAAAAAAAAAACAAAGCAAAAAATGTAGAAACGTTTCGTCTCTCATCCGAAAGACTTCCTCAGTCTGAGGTGCTGTATTCAGCTCAGTCTCTTAAATAGCACCTTCTCAGAGTGGATCAACTAGTTTGCTGCTGACAACCAAAACCAGCTGCTCACATGGTCAAGAAGGCGCATCAGCCTAACAATGGATCATTAGCACCCTGATGGCTGTTTACTATTCACAGGGGGTTGAGTGATACTAGCAATAACAGCATTGTAAGAGGGGGACAGTTGAACACAGAGGCCTCCACCCCTGTTTAATGATGGACGGTTTCTTTTCACAAAGATGGCCTCCTTTACTCCTCTCAAACCATCGTTCCTCTCTATCAAGGACATGAACATCTTCATCCCTGAAAGAGTGACCGCTGGCCTGGAGATGAGTGTAGACTGCAGAGTCCTGGCCTGATGATGTTGATCTTCTGTGCTGGGCCATCCTTTTGGCCAGTGGCCGTTTAGTTTCCCTGATGTAGGACTGATCAAAGCCCTCCTGACACTGAACAGCATACACAATATTACTCTGTTTGTGCCGGGGAACTGGATCTTTGGGATGAACCAGTCTTTGCCGTAATATATTTTGGGGTTTAAAAGCCACTGGGACGTTATGTTTAGAAAATAAACGTCTCAGTTTCTCTGATACTCCCTCAACGTACGGAATGACCACTGGTCTGGGTTCCTCCTTTTTCACCTGATGGCTGACTGGAGTCCTATTTGGGTTTCTTCTCTGCGTCCAGGAAGGCCCAGTTAGGATCACCACATTGTTCTAGAGCCTGTTTTGTGTAGGATTTCTCCTTCTGCCTGGCTCCTGAGTTAGTGGGGATGCTGTCTGCTCTGTGATACAGAGTCCTGATGACTCCTAACTTGTGCTCCAAAGGGTGATTGGAGTCAAACTGCAAATACTGGTCTGTGTGGGTGGGTTTGAGGTACACCTCGGTTTGCAAATGTCCTCTATCAGAGACTGAGACCTCACAGTCCAAGAAAGCCAACCTGCCATTTTTACATCTTCTCGTGTGAACTTGATGTATTTATCCACAGAGTTGATGTGGTCAGTAAAATGTTGGACTTCCTGAGATTTAATTTTAACCCAGGTGTCGTCAACATACCTGAACCAATGACCTGGTGGTGTCCCTGAAAAGGACGTCAAGGCTCTCTTTTCTACCTCCTCCATGTACAGGTTGGTAACAATAGAAGAAACTGGAGACCCCATAGCACACCCATGTTTCTGCCTATAATATTGCTCCCCATATGTGAAGTAGGTTGACTGCAGGCACAGTTTCAAGAGTTGACACAGTTGTTCTGTGGAAAGCGTGGTCCTGCTGCTCAGAGTGGTGTCTGATTTTAATCTTAAACTGACCACCTCTACTGCATCATCAACAGTAATGCACATAA